GTATGTAGGAACTTAAATATTTTTCTTGTAAGCACAAAAAATTGCTTATTGTTAGCCAGGTTTTTTCCTCCAACTGTGGACTTCTCTATCTTTTAGCCTTTATTTTGTCGTATTATAGTTAATTTTTCTGTGGCTTTCTTCAAATAAAGCATTTATTACATTTTATTATTTTTATTTACTGCTTTAGTTACGCATTCGTAATAACTTATAAATTTATCTCTGGTTTTTCATTCGCTTATATTTCAGATGCTTAATGTTTCTTTTTAATTTTTTTTTTTTTGCTGCTTTGTTCTAAGTTGTACCTATCAAATTTTGATGTGTATCGGGCATTTTGTTATTAAATATATAACAGTTTCTAAAATTTCTTTCATTTAAATCATAATCATTTATCATAATCGGACGCAGTCTTTTAGTAAAGCGTTGCTTCTTTTGCTAACTAATCCGCCCTTCTATTTCTCAAAACTGTAGCCATAAACTGTTTCCATCTTGATAAATCTCCTTGGAGCCACCCCAAGACTACCATGGAAACCCCAGTCTAGAGAAACACTCAGTCCATGCGTTGATTTTAATATCTTCGATAACTAATGAATTAACAGTTTTATCCATAAGCTATGATAATAATAAAGTACCGAGTACGGAAGATCTAACCAAGTTCTGAGAAGTAGAAGACATCAAGGAAGGCATCTATTTCAGTCCTGATGGCAGAAAAACAATACTGCGAGGATCTTTATTAAGCTACTACGCGACGTTTGGGAAACGGTAGGTACGAGGTTGCCTTACCTATGAAACCTGATTTTCAAAAGCATCTAGGCACATCCAAGCCTAAAGCAGTAGCACAATATCTTTAGCAAGAGTGCAAAATATCAAAAAATCCACATTTACTCGAAAAATACAAAGGTAAAGATTACATTTATTGCATAACTGTGTACAATATGATCTTAGTACAAAACGTTATGGTTTAAGGCTCAACAGTCTACCCATGTCGGATATGCCACAATTAAGATAATAAATTTAAAATTTACTACTTACTGACAATAATTTTATTAAAAAACTCATTGAGATTGTAAATCCTATCCTATACCTTTAAACGATTTCTTGTATATATATTTATATGTAATCGGAATCTCGGAAACGGCTCCAACGATTTTCATAAAATTTTGTGTCTAGGGTGTTTCGGGGACAATAAATCGATCTTGATTTTTAATCAAGGATATATATATATATATATATATATATATATATATATATATATATATATATATATATATATGTCTATGGGCCACAGCTTTCAAATTACCATCAGGTGGACTTTGTGACTTTGACTCACTTGATAAACAAAATCTGATTACAAAAATTCATTGAAATCGTAAGGGCCCTTTTCCGAGAAACCAGTTATATATAATTGTTCGATAACCTAAATAGTCTTTTTAATAAATTACATATTTTATATAACGAGGTTCTATTACGAGTTCGATATCACAAAAACAGTACCTACATCAAAGTTCGCGCAAGCACGAACCAATTTACGGTATTCCTTACAATCCCGCATCTAATGTAATGCGATAAGCTTGAAGAACGAATGGGATATACGGAGACAAAAATAACTTTTTTGTTATACATTTTTCGTAAGAAGAAATAAGAATTGTTTTGAGACGGCTGAGTGAATAGCCTTCTACAACGTGGAAGGCATTACTATCGGACATAATGCTTTAACGGACTGGTAACCTTAAGTGTGACCTAATATTGTCGTGCAGGGAACCTTTATGTCTGTTTGTTTTTAAATAAGTAACATACTTTCTGATATCTTATTATTGTGATGAAAAATTTTACAAAATAATATTTTTATTGGTACCGGTGGGGATCGATCTGGGTTACTCTCTTACTGGAAAAATTACGGCAAACTCTTAGCCCCTGAGCTGTCTCTGTCTTTAATTGCTCCTTTTTAAATGGGTCGTGTTGATAAAAACATCGTGAAGAAACCTGCATATCTGAGGAATAAAATATTCTAAAGTCACGTGAAGTCAACCAACATGCACAAGAACAGTAATTAGGCAACAAGCAATTACCCTCTGCTTTAGAAATATAAACCTTAAGATGTATGAAATTTCATATTTAGTAAAATAACTACTGCACAAATAGTAAGCTCGATTGGAGAGGACTGCAAAATAATATAAGCGTGAAAAAGCTGCATAAGCTGGTGTGCTTTCTTATAGAGAGTGACGTGAATATTATACTACTACTATTTTCTACTGGTAACGGAGCATTCATTTTTAGCTCTAAAGATTTGGCAACACGTCTATATTTTTTTTTAAATTTATTTTGGCAACAAACAGTCGTATACTAAGGAAATAAAATACTAAAACTTGTCTATTAGAAATTTACCTACAGTGCCGAAATCTTAAACACAATTTAAAAGAAAGTTACATGGTAACGCTACATAGTGACTATTAACATAACAAAAAAAAAATAAGTACATAAACATAGTTAAAATTAGAATATCAATTCAAAAAAAAAATGCAACTCACTAGCAAACCTTACTTAGATTATTTTTTATTGTCTGTTTTAAGGTAATGAGAGATGAATTAAAAAGGTTGATATTAGTAAATTGCTTATTATATATGTCAGTGGAACGGTATAAGAATGAATTACGAGTATATTTTTTATGTAACTGCGGAGGAACAAAAAGACGGACACGAGCAATAAGTGATACCTTTGAGAGAAGTTGAGAAGAGTCAATTAAATTATTCAAAATTTTATATAAAAAGATTTGATATAATCTTTTCTATCGCAAAGGGATTTATACCGATTTTCGAGGATAGATATCTATTGGCTGAAGCATTTATTATCCATAAGGTAAATTGTGTGCCCGTTTGTCACTCTTCTATAACAAATAATATACTCGTAATATAGGTTTTATTATTCCATCTTCGTGCCTAAGAATCTTTTTATAGGGAAACTTGTTAAAATGTTACTTTTCATAATGTAGTAGGAGAAAAGGACTCGAGAGAGGAATAAAATAAAATCGTTTGGACACTTTTAGAATTTAAATTAGCCTGAAATTACTTTTTATGTTACAGGATGTGAGGTGTTGTTGCTCAATAGTAGAATTGGGCAGAGCGTGATCTGCCTGGGTACGCTACGCCGCGGGTATGATACGCCGCTATTTTATGGTTTCAATCATTTCATTTATTCATTTCGGATTATCATAGGTCCACTACTGAACGTCAAATGGCCTCCAGCATAAATTGCCTAATAGGGGAGATATTTGACAAAAATGTCAGTACACGGGGGCCATAATTTATTCGCCATTTTATGATGTGACGTTTGATTATCTTAAATCTAAATAATAGAATAGTATATTAATTACATTACCAATTAAAATATTATATCCAGGCGAAGCCGTTGAGGGTCGATAGTTGTTAATAATGTCTGAAATACTTCGAAAATTTATCGAAAATTTTCGCAATGATTGCCTTTTTCAAAACTTCGCGTCCCGTCACGTCGCGTCCCGTCACGTGGCGTCCCGTCACGTGGCGTCCCGTCACGTCGCGTCCCGTCACGTCACGTCCCGTCACGTCACATCCCGTCCTCGCCCATCCACACCCTTCTCGTCCCGTCCCATCTAGTCCCATCCCCTAGTCCCATCCCATCCCGTCCAGTCCCATTCCGTCCTGTCTCGTCCTGTCCTATCCTATCCTGTCCTGTCTTGCCCTGCCCTAACATACCCATAAAGAAGTTATCTCTATGTAGCTGGCCACCCGAAGAGCAAAAGAATTCTTGTAAGCATGTAACGTGAAAATTTAATTCAAAATTAAAGTGTACGAATATCTTCTGAGATTGTATGAAGTAGTGTTATCTTCGTCTGATTCTGGTTCACACCAGCGCCTCACGATAGAGTAAGAGCGTTGTCGAGCTGCAAAGGAATTAGAGTAGAACGAGCTTACACTAACCAAATAACAGAGTTACTTTCGACTTTATATCAGAATCTGAGTATTGGAGAGACATTTAAGACTGCTGAACGTAGCTGGCTAGCTATGAGATGAATGAGCCAATTAATTCCATACAAAGAATCGAACTTGATCTGCCCGGATTAGCAACAGCAATTATCCCATCAATAGCGTCCTTCGAACTTCCTTTTGAGTAAGCATTCGTTGCAGTGTAGCGTAGCTCTACTGTCATCGTCGTTATTACAGCCCTTCACAAGTCCACTGCTGAACATAGCCCCCCCCCCCTAAGGAATACCACAAAGCCCGGTCCCGAGCCACCTGCATCAATCACCTTCTTGCATATCTTACCAGGTCGTCACGTCATCAATTGAGGGGTCACCCTACACTTCGCCTATCGGAACAAGGCTGCCACTCGAGAACCTTTTTCACCCCATCGGTTGTCGGTTCTTCGAGCCATATGGTTGAACCATTGCCACTTCAGTTTACTAGTCCATTGGGCTATGTCGGTCACTCCGGTTCTACTGCGGATGTCTCCATAGATCGCTAAGCGACCTTGAGCATCCTCATACGGCCAACAGTGAAGGACCACGTCTTAGATCCATAAGTCATCACTGGCAACACGCACTGTTTGTACAATCTAGTTTTTTTTAGTTAATTTTAGTTTTTTCTACCGTGTACAAAGTAAAATAACAAATTATTATTGTTAGGTGCTCTTTAGTTATTTGTTATTAAAATATTATATTCAATTATTTTTAGCTGGCTCGGCAGACATTGTACTGCCCTTTCTAATAGGTGACGCGATGATTTTCACTTCGAACTTTTTAATTGATTGCTTGCTTCCGATCCAGTCGAGTGTCGGTTTTTTTACGCAGATCAAAGGGCGTTTGCGGCAAGCGCTTGCGATGCATTTACATGTTGGTCCGCGTTTAGTAGCCATTTACTCTATGGTATGTGATCTCGCGGCGAGTACACGTTTGCTTGATTTTACAAAAAATAAATAAAAAATGAGTTGCTGGCCGAATGAAGAGTCTTTCGTTTCTGGAACATTACCAAATGGAACCATGCATCTGGAATCCGAAAGATATAAATCTTAAAGATAAGAAGAAACAAGCATATGCATGGATTCGTCTTGCTGAACTTACTGGAAGGCCAGTAAAGGAAATAAAAAATAAAAAAGGAGATTTTGATGACTACTTTTCGCAAGCACTTGAAAAAAAAAACGCGAATCTATGCGTTCCGGCGCCTACGATACATTTATAATTATTTTGATAGTCTGCTTAGCAAGGTGTAACTTATGTTTAAAAGCGTTGGTTAGTTTCTCGATTATTCCGCAACTATCTCGCTCTAATTTTCGATGTTTTTATTTTATTTTAGGTGCCGAAGTAATATACAATCCAACTTGGTATGTTTACGAAACCATGGAGTCATTTTTACTACCAGTATATACTTGCAATGAAGGGATAAACACCGAAACAGTAAGTAAATAAATTTATTTATTCTAAATAAAAAAAACACCGTTGGTTATTATACCTACATTTATTTATACATTTTTATCAACTTATCCAATCCTATTAAGATATGAAGTAAATTCTTCCCTGACTTCTCTGGCGGTCACCGGAGATCTTCGTGGTATTTGTGGTAAATGTTTTGCAATGTATTATATTCGTCGTTATCTCTACGCCATGAACCAGGGGTAACCATATTTCCACTACTGTCGTATACGTCAAACGAACTCTGAGGAGTATATCGATTTGAAGAACTTTTACTTGTTCTCAAAATGTTATGTAGTAATACACAAGTCATCGTAAATTCCGTTACAGTTTGTGGTTCTAAATTAATAGGGCGTCTGAATATTCTGAAAACTGAGGTTAAAATTCAAAACGTATTTTCAACTACAACTCGGGATCTAGATAAATTTTGGTTAAATAAACTTTTTGGTGAGCCTACTTCATGGTTTCCAGGGTAGGGTTTCATTACGTGTTGACTCAATGCAAAAGCACCGTCAGCTAAAAACATGTATGGAATATTAATATTCGATCCTGGAAGTGGACATGGTGGTGGAAAACCTATCTCGTTTCTAATTATTCTTTTCCATAGTAAACAATTATTAAAGACGCCGCCGTCACTTATTCTTCCTTGACTCCCGATGTTTGCGAATACAAATTTGTATTTGCTACATGTTTTTTTTTTGCATTACATTGCTACATTTGACTACATGTTTGCCATCTAATGCACCTATGCAATGTGGAAATTTAGTCCTGAATCCTTCTTCTATATTAAGCCATCCTTCTGCTGTGGTGGGCATCTGTAAAAAGAAAGTAAATGAAGTGTAAGTTTAAGTACGAGTATATTATTTTTTTTGCAGCAATCACAACAAATAGAAGAAGATACAGATCAGACAGAGGATGACCCTCTGATAAGAGACCGTACAAGTACGGTTACCACACCATCCACACCACCATCTAGATCACCATCCAGACCACCATACATACAAGCTGTTACTAATAAACGTCGTCGCCCTGCTTCTGAAACGGCTGAAAAGCAAATGGCCGTGGCTTTTCGACAATTAACAAATGTTTTGGTTCAAAGGCAGAATGAAAATATACCTGCTCATAAAGACGATGATTGCGATCTATACGCAACATTATTGGCTATAAAGCTACGTGAACTGTCAGCTGATGAACGAAAAATTATGATGTACCAAATAGATGGGTTGTTTATAAACAGAATCAGTCAAAAATCAAATGAGCGTCTTACACCATACCCTCAATATTATTCTTGACCGTCGTCAACGGCTGGTGCATATTCAACACCATCTCCTCAAGTCATTCCGAGTCGGCCAACATCAGTTAATAGCGTTTATTCTGAACCTATTCATAACAACCAAAGTTTTTTTCCCTCTCCAAACACACAAACTTCTTATTCAGCGCCAGACATGGCAAAACATATACCAACTCCAATAGCTCCAGCTCCGTCTACATCAACAGCACCCTCGTCATCTATTCGTATCATATCGGACCAAATCATCAACCCAGCCCCACGTGAAACCAACATTATAAACATGGCTATGTTGAATGCTTGCGAAGATTTTGATTCGTCGACATAATTCTTATTTAAATTAATAAATAATTAAACAATAAAGCAGTCGGCTAACATACATTCATAGAACAGATTTCCTATGATTCTATTAAAATCTAAATAAATGTATAACATAATGTTTTGTTTTATTCCTACCTTAACTAGATCCTTTAGAATTTTATTAAGAGCTCGGCAAACTTCACGAATGATTATTGATATCATAGAGACATATACTTTAAACAAGTAGTGAAGGCTTTTGTAAGAATCACCAGATGCCAAAAATCGTAGCGTAATGGCAAGACTAAATTTGGCTGGTATAGCTTCTCTGAAGTCTGTATCATGCATGGATATCATTGGTGAAATTTTTTGCAGTAAAAACTCAAAATCAGAATAGCTCATTCGGCAGAAGTTATAAAATTCTCTAGATGGTTCATATAAAAGTTCATTAAATTTGTCTTCTATAAATTGTCTGTAACAAATAAAGTATATCGTAAGTATTGTGGCATAACTCAACTGCAACAGATAATGGTTAAATCAAAATAGTAGTTACCTGGTACGATTATGATGAATCTTTTTCATCCACCATCTTCGCTGTCGTCGAGCTCTCTTTTTTATTTCACTTTGCTTACATTTCAAATAAAAGTACGTTAAACTAAATGCAATAGCCGTCACAAGTTCGGTGTCCGCCAAGCTTGGATGTATATTGCAGACTGACGCATTCACAAGCGTATAATCGCCTTTCAAACGCCAAACGAGATTTGTGGAGGCTTGGGACTGTTTGCAGTTTGCCAAGGCTTGGCAAGCATGTAAACGTACCATTATATTTACAGCGAGCGTTAACCATCTGAGCTACCACGGCTCTTATCATGCCTTATTGGCGTGCATTTTATTTCGATATTACAGTCTATACTATAATTTTATTTATATCTATGGATGTGTAAACAAAATTCATGGTTACCCTAATGTAGTGGTATTAATGTTACATTTGATTATTGGTTGTACACGATATAATATCGTATTATTGAAAATGCAAATGCGTTGTTGTACCTTAGGAATAGAATGGAATGCCTCGTTACCGGTAAAAAAGTTGTTCGGTTCGAGTCAGTGGGTATAAACTCGGGATGGAAAGTAAAAATAATAGCGAATTTTGTTTTCAAATCTTGCCAGCTACAATGGCTACGATAAATCGAGTGTTTTTATTGCAAATCCTTGTTTTTTGTTTTTTTGGTGATTTTTTTTAATAATAATTTATTTTATTTTGATAACTGTACAAATTATTCCAATAAGTCGTAACTTAAAAATAGTCTACAATGACAGGCACCTGAACTAGGATAAACCTGTATCTCAGGTGTATGTGCTAAAAGATACATTAACAAATATTTTCTGTTTCTTATATAAAATGAATAACGTACTAACTAATAAGGGCTATTTGGGTAAAATATATCATCATTGATTTACTTATGATATTAATTAACTTAAAACAATCAGCAACTTCTCCGTATCGTAATCGTATGACAAATTTTGTAACCATGTTCGAATTACCTTTTTACAGTCTTTAATTAAAACTTGTTAAAATAATTAAAACTTGTTAGACGATTTGTTTTCGTTGCAGTAAAAATTTCCGAATTTAAATTAAAACATTTAAATTTAATTCCAAAATAAAAAAGATGCGTGCAGCTTACACGCGACAGAAGTGAAACCTTCAAATGAAATGAAATATAAAATACAAATACTTTACGGCAAATACAGTTACAGTTACAGCCTATATACGTTCCACTCCTGGGCACAGGCCTCATCTCATTTCTGAGTGGGTTTTTATGGCAAGGAATAGTCCGCCGCGCTGCCCCAATGCGTGTTGGCGAACTTCACATTTCTTCGAAATATTTTTTTCTTATTTCTCAGAAATGCAGGTTTCCTCACGATGTTTTCCTTCACCGCCGAGCACGTGGTAAATCAGCCCTTAAATTGCAATAAACTTTAGGTGCAATTCATTGGTGCTGGCGGGGATCGAACCCGGGTTGCTTGCGTATTGTGGAATTTACAGCGAGCGCTAACCATCTGAGCTACCACGGCAAATGTTTTTTTAAACCACAAGTTCGGCATAAAATATAAGAAAATTTAATCTTATAGTAAATAAATGTAACACTCCTTTTAATATATACATACAAAATTATTTTTTAATATATATATATATATATATATATATATATATATATATATATATATATATACATACACATAGATAATACATATCATTCTATAGGTGTTCACTTTATCGAACAACTGATTGACACCCAAAGTGGTACGTAAAATAGACGCTAAATGGCCTGAATTTATGAAATCATGAATTTTTCGTGAGTGTTTTTTTAATATGGTGAATTTTATTTGTTAATTTTTCTCTGTTTACTGCCGCTGCCACATTTCTATATGAAAATCGTAGATTATGAAAAGTGAACTATACAGACGGGAAACGCATGAAACTACCTACTACCGGTTTTGATGGTTCTTTTTTTATTCAAATTAGTATTACTTGGACTCATTTATTTTAATACTTATTTTATTTTAACATCATATTTTAATCCGAGCATGTTTAAAATATGTAAAGAAGTCTTCGACATTGTTAATGTACTCTTAAAAGTACGGGAGAGCAACTAATTTTTACGACGAGTAGATTAATTTTCCTTCGAATGTTTATACTCTTTTCGATATACCTTATATAGTACTCACTAATTACAAAAATATTTATATCAATTTAACCTATTACGAAGTTGAGGTTTGGCCGTTCTGCAGTGCATGTTTATTCCATAGGCACATGACACCTTCGTACCTTGTTGAACAAAGCGCGTAAGCGACGTGTTTCGGCGGCGTTTATGACTTTTTTCTCGCGAGCATTGAGCTATAATGCTTCCTATCTCATTTTCTCCCACGTTAAATCTTGCGAAATTATGTGTCTGTCTCTGTTTACTGTCGCTTTTTCGTTTCATATATTTTCGAATCACAACAATGTTAAATAAGTTTTCACTTCAAAAGGATAAAAAAGAATGATAAAATAAAAGATCGTTGAATTGACGACATCGATTCGTAGCGCAGCGGGATGAGCGACTTCAAGCGGCAAGAGAAAAAACGAGACATGAATTGTATCTGTATCTTATCTACACAATACACGCAAACTGTTATGTTGACTATTTAGACGTTTGACGAGTTAACGAAAATGACAAACCAAAAATGTTTTAATGTAGTAACAGCTTCCAGATATATTTATTTTTGCTGTCAAAATTATCGATCAAAGAACAAATAAAGGTAGTCAGTAAAAAATCGGGATATTTGGCGTCCCGATCAAAGACGAATTGGGACGTGTTACCAGACCCCTGTAAATTGGAACGTTTCGCGCAAATCGGGACACTTGGCAACACTGGTCACTATATCAAACACAGCAGTATTATGTCGCTATTTTACGTATTCTGCTAGAGCATGGTCCACGCAACCTTATTAAATACAACTGTGGCGCGACTCTACCACCTAAAGAAATTATAATTTTTTTGCAAAATAATCTAAAAGCCGTTACAGAATATTTAGAAATCATTATTGCCAATAAAAATGCAGCTGCCAATCTCCTGTTTCATTTTCTTCTGTCGTCTCCAACGAGACCCACGGGTTGATAGACAGTACGGGGTACTAATTTATCTCTTATGCCTTATGCCGCGCCGCCACTGTACGGCGACAGTTGAATTTTGATAATGAAAAAAGATGACATTATCTTTACGGTACGCTATAAACCATATTAATAGTATGTGGTAGGTGTAGTATATTGTTTTTATAGAAAAATGGTAGCACATGCGGCACAGCCTAAGAACAAAATACAGTCAGTTTATCGCGTTGTTTGATGTTGTCGGAAAAGCCGACATAAACAATAAATTGCTAGGGTTCTTTCTTTTCTTCCTTCTTTCCTTTGAAATGTCCTTCAACAACTTTTTAATGTCTATTGATGGCATGTCGATAGAATACGAATGATTTTGAGTTTGTTCATTTTGTTCTACTTTTTCTTCTTCTTCTGGAATAATATACGATCTTCTTACTGGTGTGTAACGTTGACTATCCTTACATGACCATTACAGGCTATCTGCGTTACGCAATGCTGCGATCTGTTCAGCGGAAAGATTAGTACAGGCCTGGGTCGCATGCACAACTGCTGCATTCTAATCCGGCAGTTCTTTTAGTTATCGGTTTTTCACAACGATCACATTTATTCTTTGTAATCCCGATCGGTAACACTCTATCGAGCAAACTGACTCTTCGACACCTCATTCGTCATACGATAACATAATCATAACCTCGAAATCACATTTTGCCTTATGTATGATGATGATGATGAACAAATTTTCAAAATCATAATTGTAATAAACCCTTACAAGTTCATAAGTAAAAATCAAAATAAATCTTAATAATTATTGCGCTTTGACTTATCATACTTTTAGAACCTAGCCTATTATTATTATTATTATTATTTGGGTACCTATATAATTTTCTCATCTGGTTAGGTTACATAAATATATAATTGTGAATGAAAATGAAGAATATATCGGACTCGTAGCCAAAAGATTAGTTACTGTTTTACCTAACTTACGACATAATCACAAGATATTTTGAATATTTGGACGTTAATAATAATAATAATCCTTTATTGCAGACACAGAGATCCATATT